TTAAAGGGACTTTATTATTATCATTATTATTATTTTCATTATTATTATTATTATTATCATTATTAGCATTGTAATAATGTTAACTATTTGTTATAGATGTATTTCATATCCCCCTGAGGAATATAAAGATTTCACCTGTTGTCCAGTATTTATTGTAACTTCTAATTCCTTAGCTTTAGGTGAATATTTCAAATGTGAGTGTGGGGGGGGGGGCAGAAATTAATGAAGTGATTGAATATCCTTTTTTAGAATTCCAGAAATCTTTCCTCGGGGTTTATCAGAAGGTTAGTTTTATAAAAAAAAAGAGAATTATTTTTTAGTTTGTGTTTCAGTTTATTAAAAATCTCCGCATATCATCAACTATAGTTTTATGTTGACTAAAATCTTCCAACTTCAAAAGTTACAGAAACTTTTAAACTTGTCTGAGAGAAATGTCTTTTTTGGAACGGACCAAACGTACCTCGAATACTTTAGTGATCTTTTTATAATTTCAGAAAAACTAAATCATCATATGTTAGACCCCAGTTAAACTCCGCTAAACATAGATTTTAATATAGCTGAGATCGACCAGATATATTGAAGAGAGAGAGGTAGCTGAACCTCTATGACGTAGTTTAACCAATACTCTTGTGTGCCGCACGGTTCAAGCTTAAGAAATGTCTGGGAGGTTCAACCATTTTCTCGCTATTCATAAAATTTCAAGTGACCCTTCCCTTGTAAAGATGGAAATATTGGATTCACAAAGGTGCCCTTAAAAGCTTTGTCTAATCAAGCATGAATAAGATATCAATTTTTATAATTTGAAAAACTGATTATTTTCAATAGCGGTTTCTCTACAAAAGCAACTTGCGCTGCAAGAAAAAGTATCATCAGAACTGAACACTTTTAAACCCAGAAAAAATATCATATCTTCCACATTATTGATCAGATAAAGGTTTCAAGGGTTCCAGGGTACCGGGGTAAGTTGTGCATTGCATTGGAGGATAACTTGAAATTACGCTTACAGTCTCCTTAAAGCTGGTCCTTAGGTAGATAATTTGACCCGGAATGAGCGTCCAGTTTATCAATTAAAGGGAGGAAGAGTGTACGCATATTACTGGGTAATTACTAATTATATAATAATACAATTGTAGAATATTGAGTTAGAACAGAATAAACCAAAAAGAATTAGTTGAATTAAGGATATCTAAAGTGAGACGGATATAACTTTAGAATAGAAAGACGATATTTAAGCAATCTTTTGTATATTTGGTGTTGTTTTAGAGTAAAAAGGAAAATGTGTCTGTGAACACTGCATAACTGCTGTTTTTTCATGTTCAACGGACTATTTAAAATCATGATTTGAATAGTCTTCCTGTTTCCACAGTTTTATGTGTCTTACTGTAGTTTGACTAGAGGCAGAATATGGTTGGTTCCACTAAAAATTGTATTAAATTTTTCAAGATTTAAGCTGGCGCTCATTTGAAATTGGTTTGGGGGGATTTGAGACACGGCTTTAATTCATTAAATTCGCATGATAAGAAAGATTATTAATATGACTTAAAATCAATTTAAAGCAAACTTATTTTTGTATTAAAGTAAAATCTATTGTTTCTATTTTAAGATATTTAACGAGAACAGATTGGATGATGGAGAAAATTGGTTGGTGAGTTAACATTCTATATGTTGGTATCCAATAAACCTGAAACGGCTGAGCCGTTCAGGTCCTGTTTTTTTGTGGCCACTCTCATGCCCCAGGGAAGGTTTATGGATCGTTGAAAAATATTTTTCTTTAGATTTCCGACAACATTGATCAATGGAGGCATGGGATTGAATCACCAAACTTGTTCCAGTAAGTCTGAATTTATACAGATCCCAAAATCCGACAGATTTTTAGTAATTTAAAGATTTGGTAGATAATACTCATTTACATAAGGGTAGAAATATTATATCGAAAATGTCAAATCATTTTTTTCACCAGCAAAAAAGAAGCAATATCATTGAAGGAAAGAATTGAAAAAATCATAACTTAATCAATAATTAGCGAAAAAAAAAAACTTAAATCGTTACGGTGGTCGTGTTATTGAAATCATATGGAATTATGTTAGTTCAGGAATTGTATAAGATCATTCATTTTTAAATTAAATTCATCATGGAGTTGTATAAGATCATTGATATATACATTAAATTCATCATGGAGTTGTATAAGATCATTCATATTTACATTAAATTCATCATGGAGTTGTATAAGATCATTTCCATTTACATTAAAATCATCTGGAAACTGTGTTAGATCGATCACAGTAACCTTAGAATCATCTGAAATTGTGTTTAAGAGAAACAAGAGAGAACGAGAATGGATTAAAAGTGCAGTGCAAGGAACCATACTGTGGCAATCAATGTTTAACCCAGGTTATCAACTTTAATGTCTCTTTCTTTAACTTACAAAAAGCAAAAGTTTAAACAGATAAAATTCTACATTTGATGTATAGAAACAGAGTTCTTAAAGGGACTGTAAAGGAAAAATGGAAGGTGGTATAGGCTGAAAGCGAATCATTTAAGCTTTTGATCGCATTCGCAACCCATCAAGGTTATATCTGATGTTCCTGTCTCGAGAAATTGAAAATTCATATATATACAATTTTGTATAGAAATAGTAGGTTTAAACAGATCATATTCAGCAAAAATCCAACCGCTTAAGATATCCCAAGGAATCCTAATTGTAACTAGGGCTGGGCACGTTCCGACTTTTTTGAAATCGTTCCGTTCCGTTCTAGAACGAGGGCCTTCAGCTAAATTGTTCCGTTCTCGTTCCTCTTTTTTATCGTTCCGTTCTCGTTCCGTTCCGTTCTGAGTAGAAGAACGGTCTTCCCGTTCCGTTCCGTTCTTGGCGTTCTTAGTTGAAGAACGGTTGCATCCCTCTTGTTCTGTTCTTAATTAAGAACGTTTCCATCCCCCGTTCCGTTCTCAGTAACGGACAATTACATCAAAGACAAAAGTTTTATAGAAAAGAGTTGGTAAAAAAGTAAAAATATTACAATTTTTAAATAAAAAGTTCCTCACGGCCATAAATAATACTTTAAATTATATATTTTAAATTTAGGGTTAAAAGAATAAGCTTAGATAATTCTTCGTTTTTTTTTCGGAACGATGGGATCGTTCTTGATCGTTCCGTTCGTTCTCGGCAAAGAACGATCGTTCCACCGTTAACGCGCCCAGCCCTAATTGTAACTTAGGTTTTTTTACAATTATTTTTTTATAATTTTATTTTTATTTTTAATAGATAACATTTTTTTTTTGAATTCTTTAGGTTAACAAGGGTAGCGTTCCTTTCTCGGTTTGGACAAAACTTCACAGAAACTGGGGTTGGCTTAAGGATACTAAACTTAGGTAAAGAAATTCTTAAACCTTCTTTTATTGGTTTTTTATTCTGTATAGTTAATTAAATATGTACGTGTGACTAAAGTTTTCTTTCCTACGCTTTTTGAATGAATCATTTTGTAATTTTCCATTATCACTGAAATACTGCATTCAAAATCATTTTCGCATTACTTTTGATATACAGTCGATACTTTACTATCAAGCCCTTTATGAATACTTTTGGCTAGATACCTTTTTTATGGAATATATTATCTTTATTTTAGAGTTCAATGTTATGATATTGAAAAGGCAAAAAACTGTTGCACTAAGATTAGATTAAGGTAAAAAAAAAATTATCTTCACAAATGCAACGACATGCTTTCCTACACCCTCATTTACTTTAAAGTCATGTGATCACTTAATGCTGCCGGTTTAAAACTTTATTATCCTTGCTGGTTGCATAAGTGATACAAAACTGCAGACAATACTAATAGCACTATAGTTTCAGAAGAAAGTAAACATTTCCATTTACTGATAGCGTCGATTGAAGGATTCATAATTCTAATTGGATAATAAGATAGATAAAAAGATAGATGTTAGCGCCATACTATTTCTATTGGTTCTGAATAGACAACAAACACATGACTGAACCCTGGATCCCCTGACTGAACCCTGGATCAGGCGCTAATGGACTCGGTATACAGGCGTGATAGACGAGCCATATTTAAAGCAACATTGGAAAAAGGAACATATAATAATACAATGAAATTCAAAATTATTTTGTTGAAATCTTAAAAGAACTGTAAGCGTAATTTCAAGGGACCTTTCATTTTTAGAGTGTTCGATTTACAACAGTAATCTTTATACCTTTAACTGGTCAATATTGTCGGACTGATTAATTTACAAAAACCTTTTAATTGTTAAACACTGAGTAAATCAACCCATGCCCTCTTCGCCATTCAAATTACGCTTACAGTCCCTTTAACATTATTTTATTTTTAGATCAAATGGATTAAGTTCCGTTTTTCATTTTGATAAACTTGGCGTGTACAATGTTGCAGTAAACTTTCAAAACAGGTATATCAATACAATCTTTAATTTTTTTTAAACTCTGATAATCTAAATAATATCGTAGTCCTTTTATATTTCCAACTATAAAATCTATTAGAACAAATAATCTAAGTTTAACTCATCAAAAGTTTACACCATCTGGTTGCAAAAATAAGGGAATTAGAAAATTTGGGGTTGTGTAAAGACTTAATTCCTTTTCCCTATCCATAGTAGCTAGCTATTTTGACAATATATTACCTATGCATCAACATATATTCAATATATATTTAGTATTTACTAATCACGTTTAAATATTCAGAAACCTGACTGAATTGGGACGGTTTGTTTTCAACCAAGAAAATGGAAAGAATATGTTGTATATGTGGGACTGGGGTCCAAATGCAGGTAATTTTTCCTAATATTCATATAAATGTTGATTCATTTAAAGGGAGTTTAAGAATAATTTTATACGACATTTTAATTCCAAAAAAGCTGAATATTAAAACAAAGAATTAATGAATCTACGGAAAAAATGCCGAAAGCTGGGATTACTGTTATTTTTGCACTTTAAATTGCATATTATAGTTGATAAAAAAATGACATTTCCGTAAAATATGTCAGCTGGTAAAATAAAATGATCAGCGGTGCATTGTGTTGAAAGTAGGTATAACACTAGTTTTATTTGAAGATTTTTTTTAACTAAACTTACAACTATATATTTTAATGAGGTATGAACTGGATGGTTTCCCTGGACTACTTGAACAATAAGAGGTTTATTGAGAGCTTGAGTGTTGAAACACATCTAGATAATAATATCTGTATTGAAGATGTTCACAAGTAAATTATAATTTATAATTAAAAAACAGTACTTTTTTTGAGAAACACAACGACAACGATGCCTTAAGGACCGGAATTTTAGCAATAAAAATTTATTCGCGAAATGCAAAAACAATTTATTATCATAGACTTTGAATCTTTCTAAGACAAATTAATGTATTTCCCCTGTTTGTTTCTAGGGGGGGGATAGATAATATATATATTACATTTATATATAATACATATAATATTTTCTATTTGTCTGTTTGTACGTCTGATCATACCTCATGAACCCCTTGAACGATTTGGATCAAATTTTGATTGATGAACTAGGTAAAACTATGGGAATATTCTTAGTTTGGGTCAAAGATTCAAAGTTGGTTGACTTTTAAAGGTTTAGTGTGCAGGCAAAGCTTGGTGTCCAAGCTTGTCACAAATAAATCATAAAACAAATCTTGAGCAAAAAAAGTGCTCCAAACTTAAATTTGTACATCAAATATATTATAAAGAGTTGGACCTTTCCGAGTGTGGAATACAGCAGACCGTGCCTGGCAGACAGATTGGAACCTAAGAGTAGAATGCTATAATGAAACACTAGACTGCTGTGACAAGGTGAAGCAATGCAAATCTTTTTGCTAAAAATGCATTTGAAATTCCTTTCAGATTTTTACCCATCGATTTTGGGATCCGTTTCAAGGCTTAATTTTTTGTATTTACTTTTTTTTTTACTATTGCCATAATATTGTGTAGTTTTCTTTATTAAAATAAATCGCCTTAGCTTTTCCATGTTTGCTTTTTTAGTTAAAACTTGAATTTCGTCTATAATCAAAATTAAAATTCTTTTTTTGTTAATTTTTTCGTTGACCCAGGTTGGAGTACGGTCGACTCAAACTACTCTATTTGTCCAGCCAGACATTCTTGGAGAATATTCATTCTTTACAGGTTTTCATGCAGAAATAATATTGAGAAAATCTACATTTTTGCTAGTTTGCAAAACAAAATATTCTTTTTATGTCCAGTATTTAAAATAAAGAGAATTATAATTTTATTTACGTACTTTAAGTCAGAGTTTCCAAAGGAATTCAGTCTTTGTCCCAAACTTAAATTTCCTAATCCCTATATATCCTTGAAACCTGATCTGAGATTTTAAAAGCTTAAACCCGAGTAAACCCCGGTTTAGTTTCAGTAGAAGTAAATATTTCCATTTACTGATAGCGCCGATTGAAGGATTCGTATCTCTAATTGGATAATGAGATGAATAGAAAGATAGACGTTACCGCCATACTATTTCTATTGGTTCAGAATAAACAACAAACACATGACTGAACCCTGATTGGATCAGGCGCTACAGGAGGGATTGAAAAACTAAAACCCAAGTCAGGATTGGTTCCAATTCAGCCAATGCGAGACTGGTTAGAATGCTTTCTCTCTGTAGCAGACAGATCAGATGTAACAAGGAGATGTAAATTTCGAAAATTCAAACATTACGTAGATACCTAATTTTCATTGTCACGTTTATTTTAAACCTTTGAATAGTTTGGACACTACTTATAATGAACCTTTTCAAACCAAGCTCATTTGATCTAACATAATTTATAGTTTAAAATATCTACAGGTCTACAACAGGGGCTTGCTAAGATACAGGGATTAAGAAATCAGAGTTTGTTGCAAGACTCCATTCCTTTGTAGCCACCTGCAAATTAATGAATTAAAATCTGTGAAAAGAAAGAAGATGTTATTGAGAATTAAAATGTATAAATGCATTGTCTCAAATGCTTGTCCGTTCAAAATGTCAAGATAAAATAGAAAAACTAGAAATCTATATTATTTTGTTTGTAGGATACAATGGCAGGTCTGTGTATAAACATTCTACTCAGGATTATCAATTATTCTTCAAGGATTGGGGTTCTAACCAGGTTTCCTTTCTTTACTTCGTGCCACTTCTTTCTAATCTATATCTAGGTCGTACTGCCGGATACTTCTTTACATGGGAGCAGTTTTCTTTAATATATTCTTGCTTTTTTTGATTGATGTAAATTTTGAAATTTGAAGGGAAGCAAAGTTATTAAAGATGCATTCATTAATTATTACGTTTATTGAATACATCATCAAGATGCAAACCAAACATATGCAAATAAGGAATCTTTGATAAAAAGATACTTTTAGTTCATTTCAAATTTTTGTTTTCCACTTCCGATAAGTGTGTTGATTTGAAGTTAATATATTAAAAATGCATATTTCTTTAGTACAAATATAACCTTTTTTTAGGGAGAAAACTGGGTTATCGGGAAAAATTATACGGACGACGAGGTACTTTTTATTTAAATTTATAACCTAATCAAAAATTAAAAGGTTTATCAAAAAATTTTAAGGAAATGAGTTTTTGCCACAAACTCTGAACTTTTCCCCCCTATATCTTAGCAACCCGATGTAGTAGACCTTTGATATTTCAAACTATGAATTATTGTTAGATCAAGTAGTCTAAATTTTCAATATCGTTGGTTTACACCATCAGGTGGCAAAGATAAAGGGATTAGAACATTTGAGTTTTTGGTAAAAACGCAATTCCATTGAAATTAATTTTATGCTATATTTAGGCAATAATGTAAGCAACATAAAGGGATACCAAATGTGAGATTTTAGTCTTAAAAGCAGCATTTTAACGGGCTACTGGCAAAAACACACCTTCAGTCTTCTCTGAAATCTAGTCCTTGTGGGTATTTCCGTATTTCCGTATACTGCTTTTAGCAATTGTGTAAACGTAATTTAACAAAATCTTTTATTTCAATCAAACTATTTAAAGATACTGCTTTCTTCTCCCAACATGGAATATGTGCAGAATGATTGTGTTACTGATGCAGATGAGGTGATTTTACATTTTTCAAAGTTTAGATTTTCTGTTTTAACATGACCTTTTTCTAAATTCGAATAGATTTTTGGGTGAGATTATTTTTGTATATATTTGGGATGTCTGTTTGTCTGTATCCAATAAACTTCAAAACGTTGAAGCTAAACAATTTTGTCCAGGATAAAATGTCGACATTAAATATTCTTTTGGAAAATGCACCATTTTAGATAAATCCGTGACCTTTTTTTTTGGAGATCGAAGACAAAAACTTTGAGCAAATAGCAAAGAGCAATAGTTAGAAAATAGTCTAAAAGGCAGTATCTCATTTCTTCTCAATAAATTATTGCACTTTTTTTCCAGATTGGTTTAATTAAACCATTCCTGGTGAAATCAAACGAGAAATATCAAGGTTGGCTTCAAGATAGGTAAAACCAGGCGTTTAGTCTTTAAATCTTGATCCACTCAATTCAATTAGTCATTCGGGGCAAGAATAATGAGTTAAAGCAAATGTTTATGAAAATAAAAAGAACCTTTTTAAAGACCTTCGTATGTAGAAGGGGTTGATTCCCAATCTTTTAGATAAAGTAAGGAAAGGGGGCGGTCGGACAATAAATTACATTCAAGTAAACCAGCACATTAAATAAAAACAAGCACCTCACAGGACTAGACTTAACAACTTTTAGATCTTTACGTATTGAGTGTGTCAAGTTCTTTGATCCAAATAATCCTGATCTTCGGGAGTTTCTCAAGAATAGAAGAACAGAAGAAAATAGAAACAGAGTTGTTTATAATTTGTGAAAAGTATAGACAGAAATTATCACATTTAAAGTTTAAAACTTTGAACTCTGATCTAAAATTAGATTTTTCAACGGTTCTATAAAAATAATCCTTTTTATTGTTTAAACTAAAAGTTAAGCAAGTTTTTTTTGTATATTGTTAGTAGTTTAATGATTTTTGAAATAAAAAACTTGATTATTTGATCGACTAGCATTATTTAAACATAAAAAAGTTACATCTAAATTTCTGAATGAAAGTATCTAAAATAAGTAAAAAAGAAAAGAAAAATTGTATTTCAAATTTCAAAGAGTTTTTCTTTTTTACTTTTTTCTTTTTGGTAAGAATTTGTTAGGATATAGACTTTAGGTTGGTCTTTTTTTTTGTAGAACTCATAAATATCTTGAAATTGTACATAAAGTTTAGTTCTTCGTTTATTTATTGGCATAAAAATTTATTGTTTTTGGTGTTTTGTGTGGTTTGTTGGAGTTTGGTTTTATGTTTTCATATTTTTTTTGGTAAAATGTGAAAAAATTTTCTATTAGGAATAAACTGTTTTAGAATATATTTCAAATTTATGTAAATGTGACATGTTTCACGGTACATACATAGAAAACTAAACAAACTGAAATCATGCTGTATAAAAAACTAAGAAAGAAAAACTCTACCTCTTCAAGAAATATTTTCTCCTGGCTGTAGAAGTAATGATACTTTTGTATGCAAGTTGTTTTATATTCAATATAATTTTATCATATACTCTCTGGGAGACCCGGAAAAAAGTGCTTTTCGAGACCAAATAATTATTTTTTAATGCAACGTCAACAGACAATGATAAATATCGTTCTTAAACGAACGAATAGTTTTTTTGCAATGATATTTACGGTTTAAATACTATCAATGGTGTATACTGAAGTGTTCTTAACTTTTCTTCTTAGTTTTCAGTAAATTGTTATTTTTGCAGCTATTTTTGTTGTCGTCTTCTTTACTCTCTTTCCAGAGTTTTCTATGTAATTTCTCAATATATGCATCTACCTTAAGATTAAAACATATCTTTTTTAATACAAAAATTTAGTATAAATGATTATCAATCCAAGCATATATAATTTCCTGAAGAATCTTGGCTCTTCTGAAAAAAATTTAAATAATTATAAGCTTAAAATGTGTGTTCACTCTGCACACTTTTAATTGTTTAAAAAGTTTTAAAATTTTAAAGTTTTAACGAAAAGCAAACCTTCTCTGTCCAAGGATTCTTTTTTTCTTCGTCGTTCATCAGTTTCCTCAACAGTATCTGCTTTCTTCTCCTCCTTCTCCTCCTTCTTATCTTTTTCTTCATTCTCTTGAGGCGTTTTTTCTGCATCAGATTTTTCTTCTTTTTGCACTGTTATCAAACTTTCGGCAAGATTGTTGTCCTTCTGAAATAAAATGAGTTCAAGAATAAAGGATTGAAGTTGCCACAAACTCATATTTTCAAATCCCATTGGACTGATGGTATTTGATATTTCAAAATTAAATTATTTGACCTAATATAATCTTTATTTTTTCTTCTCAACCCCCCACCCCCCCCCTCCTGGAACTTTAGTTTTGTAGCTTCCCCTCCCCTAATTCTAAAAATCTAGTCTTATTTCATAGTTCCAAACATTCTTTAGGTTGGACAATAGTTTGTTAAAGAAACTGAGTCACAAACTTAAATTTTCTAATCCATATTTCTTTGCAACCTGGTGGTGTAAACCTTTTATATTTTAAACTTAAAATATTTAATCAAACAGAATTTATAGTCTGATATATCAAAGGTCTACGACATTGGGTTGCAGAGATAGAGATTGGAAGATTAGAGTTTGTGGCAAAAACTCAATTAATTACTTTATCTTTTGATTTCCCAAATTTTATGATAAATGCCTGTTCAATTACTTTGTAAATTATTAGTCAAATCTGTCCTAGGACTGATGATAATGAATAAAAAACATCAAAATATATTTCCTAATTCTACAGATAAAGAACACGTTAATTCAGATTTTATAGTTTGAAAAATTTAAGGTCTAGGAAATTGGGTTTTACTGATGTAGGGATTTAAAAATCAGAGTTGGAGGCTCAATTCCCTTATTGTCTTTTGTCACTTTACAATTGGGAACTTTCTGGAAAAATTTTATAGTTCAAAGAAACCATACATCTTTGTTTGGAATATCGAGTTATTGATAGCATTTCGAATTTACGAACATTTGTTCTAAATTACGAATACATTGTACTTATTACCTTATTTTTGACTGGAGATCTACCCGATTTAGCCAGTTTATTCAGAAACATGTAAAATAGGCGTCTGTTCATGTTTTTACTCATCTGATACAAGACAAACCTATACAAATTATATTAAATTAATTATAATTTGAAATTATCATAATTCTTTTAAAACTTATCTGTAAAATCCAAAATGTCCAAATTTTTGAAAAAAACATAATTTTCTAAGAAATATTCTAAAAAATCGGTGATTTTTGCCAAAAACTCGATTATTACTCGGATTAAACGTTTTGGATCATTCTGGTCCTGAGGGCATTATTTAGCAGTTTAAATTGGACTTTTTGTGTATTTACAAAGAAGATAATAATTTCTCTATGGTTTATTCCTCAGCAGTAACTTCATGATTGAAGTAAGAAATAAAGCCACATTGTAAAATATAAGTTTTATTCGATGGGTAGGGGGGGGGGGGTTGGTGAGGGGAGGTATTGTATTTGATATTTGTTAAATTGTATGATAAAAATATATGTACCAATCTCCTATGCTGCAGTTTGCAACATAAGCCTGAATATTAGCACACTGTTCTGAATCCCTGCAAAAAATATATGATTTTGTCCTAATATCACTGACATCATTGTGGCATTCTAGCATTAAACAAAAAAGTAAAAAATAATTTAAAAAATAAATACTTGAAATATCTGTGCATTCTTAATCTTAGCAGATGATATCTGAATATAGAGAGAGTCTGAAGGCATCTGAAAAAAATCTCGTTTTCAGCGTTTGTCTGCTAAAGACCATTTTTTCTGCTTTTTTATTCGATTTTTCATTGTAAAAAGGCCTCAAATAAATAAAAACAGGCAAAGCACACTGTGAGATTGTGTTTAATTTTTAATTTTCGTAAAACCTATCTTTTGAAAATGAAGTTCATTTTAAATATATAGTACCATTCTTTATACTGAGACAGGTATATATTTTATTTATGACTTTTATAATTACAATTTTATATTTTTAAATGATCTAAAATATAAAAAGGTTAAACCTTTTTATTATTTGAATTAATCAAAAAAAATTTTTGTAGATACCTCAATATGATTCTGATTGATCAAACAAACAAAATTATATCTTTATTATTTTAATTGTCAATTGATCAAAAAACCATTTGTACCTTTGTATTATTCTAAATGATCCAAAGATAAGAAGAATCACAAACCAGATCCAGAGAACCAAATAAACCTTGTCTAAACATTTGAAAAACAATTGCATTTCTAGAAAAAAAATTAGGCCGAGAAATTCTTAAATTAATTCAATTACTACTTTTTATGAAACTATTGTGAATACTTTATCATTCGATCTTCCTCACTTCATTGTGAAATTTATAATGAATGTGCTATAAAGCTAGTTTAATTAGCTGTACATTATAGCACGTGTGCTATATATTTTCTCCATAAAATTTAGGATACTTCCAAAATATTTTTTTTTCAATTGAAATGAAAATAAAATTTAAATCAATTTTAAATTTTGACTTCTGCTTTGTTTTAAAACTTATTTGATCTAGAAACAGCCATTGAAATAAGACAAATACACAAAGGTTTCATAAAATTACCTATGATTTTATAACATTTTTGGACAGAAATTTTCTCTTTATCGAAAAGGTTCAAGCCTTTTTAGATTTAATTTTGACAAAATATAATCTAAAAAGGCGAGAACCTTTGAGAAAATTTAAGTCCAAATTCTATATATCACGTCGTGCCAAAATTATAGTGATATGAATAGTTTTGAAGTTTTTAAAATATATTTTTTGAAATTAAAAACTTAGCATAATAATAAACTTCCCTAGTAGATCTAATGCGGTTGCAAGTCTCGTTTTGATTAAAACAGTTTATGTATAATTTTCAAACTTTTGAAAAATGTCCCCCTATTTCACATCGGGGTTTTTTACCTATGATTATATTTAGAGCTATGATACAAAGTGCTTGTAATGCTTCTTGCCTTCCCCCTCCTCCATACCGGAAATATGTACAGCTGACAACCTGGATATAACATTTGTTCAGCTAAAAACCTAGGTACAACATATGTACAGCTGACAACCTGGATATAACATTTGTTCAGCTGAAAACCTAGGTACAACATATGTACAGCTGACAACCTGGATATAACATTTGTTCAGCTGAAAACCTAGCTACAACATATGCACAGCTGACAACCTGGATATAACATTTGTTCCGCTGAAAACCTAGGTACAACATATGTACAGCTGACAACCTAGATATAGCATTTGTTCAGCTGAAAACCTAGGTACAACATATGTACAGCTGACAACCTAGATATAACATTTGTTCAGCTGAAAACCTAGGTACAACATATGTACAGCTGACAACCTGGATAACATTTGTTCTGCTGAAAACCTAGGTACAACATGTGTACAGCTGACAACCTGGATATAACATTTGTTCAGCTGAAAACCTAGGTACAACATATGTACAGCTGACAACCTGTAGTAGATAGATGCAAACTATATATAATACAGCATAGCAAACATACATACCCTTGGAAATGTTTGGCACATTGGATTATGATTTCCGTACAATCCTCTTTCTTCTTCTGGAATACTGTAGTACCTAAAGATATTTGTTAATATGACCGTACAAAATATAACTTTTTAAGGTTTGTTTATGTGTTCATTTCATTTTATTAGATCGCCAAATAAAATCTAAATTGTCAAAAGTTTTGATTGAAACAGGGACCTTATAATTAATCTACAGATCGAAAATCAATTTTTTTAAAAAACCCTTAAAAAATGGATGTAATAAAATGTGTCACATCTTTACATGTGGTTATTGTCAAAAGTAAAAAAAGTAATTTTCAACATTTTTTTGCACCCTAACCGTTTAAGTTCAAAGATGAAAATCAGAGGGGGAAAGTATTTTTTTTCTTCTTCAGAAATTGACAAGTTTTACTCGTCTTACTGCAGTTTGATATACTTCGTACAAATTAAACCCAGGCTCTTGTATCTGTTTTTATTTACTACTAGCTGAAGTGCCCGGCGTTGCCCGTGGAGAAAAAAATTTGATTTTGAAAGGAAAAAATATAATTTTATTTAGCCTATGTTACTTGAATATACCGCACTCAAGAGATCCCTTAAAAAATGTAAGCCCATTCGGTATAGCCCTTTGGCCAGCTATAGCTAACATATAAATATATATTATACATACATACATATATATACATCATACATGAGCAAAGAGTTTTATTATATAGAAGATTACCTATACACATCTGAACCATAAGATAAATAACTTCGTCCCAAGAATTTATCCGTAATGTAAAACTGTCTAAACAGATTCATTTTAGTCTAATGGTTTCTTTCCAATCGGATTAAATCCCACTTTATGCCATATTTTTTTAAAAATGCTTTATTGTAAACAGGGGCGGATACAGGATTTAAGTGAGGGGGGATGCTAGATTTATTTCAGAACAAAAACAGCCAGATTTAGGAACAAAATTTTTTTAAAGATAGATATTGTTCCTGTTTTGTACTAGGTTTTCTTTCCCTTAAGTGCTATTGAGGAGCTGTTCTGAAATCTCAGGAGGGGGGTGCGAAGATCCTGCTGCACCCCCCACCCCCAGTATCCGACCCTGATTGTAAAGCTACAAATATTTAAATCAAAATGAAATCAAAAAATGTATCTTTAATGTATAAAAGTCGTTTCAAAACCTCATATATGGCCCGGATTTTCAAGTTATGCTATGATCAAAGCATTTGATTCTTATTCAATTCAGCTTTAGATATTTTAAGCTCAAATGGTTACATTACAGGAAAAGGTGTGTTAACAAATATCTTACCCAGCTGCAATAGCGAGGTTAAAAATTTCACAGAGAAAAAAGGCCAGAAAATATCTAAAAAGATTGTAAATATATATTACATTATAAATGTAAATATATAAAACTGATAAGTAAAATACATTTTTCCATTTTATTGCTGTACAAATTGTTTCGTGCTTTAAACACTCCTCGGCATCATGAGTTCAGGGGGCGGAAACGTCATGGGGGTGTGTCTGTACCAAAAGAGTGTGTGTAAGTAATACCGAACTGAAGGTGTGCACTGTAGGTATATGCAGTACATAAGAATCTCGGTAATTGTACAGTCTAGGAGAGTACATTTGTTTATTGTTAATTGTTTATTTAAAAAATAAGTTTAATATACATGTAGTATATTATTTATATATTTACTAGAAATTCAAGGCGCTTCGCGCCCTTCTTTCTAGCCTTAGAGGGCGCTTCGCGCCCATCTTCTAAATTAGTTGTGAACATGAGCTGAAAACTTTAGAATGGTGGATATCGGGATTAAGGCTTAATTCACTCTTTTTCTTAATCTCGAGATTAAATATTGCTTGTTCTCCACTCATTTTTAATCTCCAGATTAATTATCCGATCAGGATTAAGGATATCCCATTCTAAAGTTTTCAGCTATGTTCTCTTTGTGTACATCGTAAAACAAAACAAAAATAATTCGCGGATTTTCACAAAAAATTTCGCGGATTTTCAAAATTTTTAAAAATTTCATGACGATCGAATTTTGATGGAGACAAATATTTGAAATTTTGATTTTTTATAAACCTTCCCTGGGGTCCCTAGATGTCCCACAAAAAAATTGGGCCCGATCGGTTCAGCCGTTTTGACGTTTATTGGATACAAACAGACAGACAGACAAACAAACACCAAGACACCCAAGCCAAATTTATATATAGAAGTCAACGCTATCTGCCAAATTTTTATGCAAAGAATATAATATGATTAAAGTGTACAAAAAACTGCTCGTTATTTAAGTTAAATGATAATTAACGATATTGTTTTGCAATTTCCTTAACTGTAGTCATGTTGTGTGTCTGTACAAAAAAAGTGTGCGTGTGTGATACCGAACTCGTCTGCAAAGCAGTCCGACTGGCTTTCTCATGCCAGACCAGCGCCATTTCCTTTCCCATTATTATTATTATTCCCTTCATTGATTGAAGTTAGATATAAATGTAGTGTATCACTGTATAGCGTATACCCTCCTTGTACAATGTGACCCAAACGTCAAACCCAGGGCCGAGCCAAATCTAAGTGATCAAGACTCTAGAATAAGACAAAAACGATCTTTTTGTAAATTGGTTTTTCTTCAAACTGAAGATTTTGACAAAATTTCTATTAAGCCATGATTTTAATATTAACGAAATCGCTTACGTCGATGAAAACTTGAAGGATATTTTGTGAATCTCTAATCAATCTCTAATCAATTATTTCAAGGGCAATTATGAAAATAAAATGAGTTACCTGTTATATTTATTGTACAAATGTTCTTTATAGTTAATGAGAAGAGAGTCACATTTCTCCTCTGCGCACTCAATAATCCGTCCTGTGCGCGCACAAAACAATTCAAGATTCATCCAAAACTTCAAAAGAAGTATAAAGGAAATGTGAATAAATAACGTGAGAACCAGAAAACAATGGAATAGTAGGACTGTAGGAAAACAATACGTAAGTGTATTTGACGTTGTTACAAATCTAATATTTTAACTCCTTAAACTGCTCAATTGCTGTGTCTCATGTTCATTGGACTATTTAAAAATTATTGCTCATTAGAGTTGTTAATTGGAATGATTTTTCATAATAACGATAAATTTTTTTTTGAATGGGATTAAATGTATTTTTAAGTATCGAAATGTAAATACTTTTAATTATTTTGAATAGCAATCTTTGTTAAAAAATTTAATTAATTCAATCAATTACTGTTGAGAGAAGAAATGTGGATCTTTCAAATATTACTGTGTAAAGTTGATTTATTACAAAATACAAAGATTAAAATAAGTTAAAATATGACAAGTTTTGTAAAGTTCCTTGTTTATCCTGAAAATTTAATATATTTTTATATTTTTAACAGATCAAACTTTTTTCAATTTTTTTCTCAAAAAACTCTCAATTTATTTAATCATAAAAAATAATTTTCCTTTGCTAAATGCTTCATAAGACCTCCCTCCACGCTTAACCAAACTGCTCTTGGTATATAGAACAAGCACGCCTAACCAACAAACATAAATTACTATATAAAACGGTCACGCCTAACCAGGCATACATAAATAAACTATAGAACAGGCACGCCTAACCAACAAACATAAATTACTATATAAAACGGTCACGCCTAACCAGACAAACATAAATAAACTATAGAACAGGCACGACTAACCAGACAAACATAAATAAACTATAGAACAGGCAGGCCTAACCAACAAACATAAATTACTATGTAGAACAGGCACGCCTAACCAACAAACATAAATTACTATATAAAACGGTCACGCCTAACCAGGCATACATAAATAAACTATAGAACAGGCACGCCTAACCAGACAAACATAATAAACTATAGAACAGGCACGCCTAACCAGATAAACATTAATAAACTATAGAACAGGCCCGCCTAACAAGACAAACATAAATAAACTATAGAACAGGCACGCCTAACCAGACAAACATAAATAAACTATAGAACAGGCACGCCTAACCAGACAAACATAAATAAACTATAGAACATGCCGCCTAACCAGGCAAACAAAGATAGACTACAGAACATGCACGCCTAACCAGAAATAATTGTGAACACGTTTATATAAAACATTACAGGGTACCTTTGACTGAAATGTCACTTAATAAAAAAAGACCAAAAAAAATCTTTTAATATTTTCACACTTTCCAAAGATGTAATGAAAACAAAAATAACAAGTTTATACCTGCCCAAGAAGGCATAAAGAGACCCATTGATAATATGTATTATGTATGACATCATCACCACTCTCTCTTCTTGCACAGTTTCCCTGTAATATATTCAATCATTATTAAAATAAACTTCATACATTTATTTAGTAAACCTACTTTTGCATTATATTGTGTATCTATAACCTAGATTTAATCTGGTATGCTTTCCCACTCTTTATCTGGTATAAATATGGGAATTTTACTAGATTTTATCTGGTATATCTACCTGGAATATATCTGGTATATTAAACTGCAATATATCTGGTATATTTAACTGGAATGTATCTGGTATATTTACCTTGAATTTATCTGTATTATTAACCGGGATATATCTGGTATATTTACCTGGAATTTATCTGGTATATCTACCTGGAATATATCTGGTATATCTACCTGGAATAAAACTGGTATATTTAACTGGAATATATCTGATATGTCTACCTGGAATATATCTGGTATGTCTACCTGGAATTTATCTGGTATATTTACCTGGAATATATCTGGTATATCTACCTGGAATATATCTGGTATATTTACCTGGAATATTATCTGGTATATCTACCTGGAATATATCTGGTATATCTACCTGGAATATATCTGGTATATTTACCTGGAATATTTCTGGTATATTTAAATGGAATATATCTGGTATATCTGCCTGGAATATATCTGGTATATTTACCTGGAATATATCTGGTATATATACCTGGAATATATCTGGTATATTTACCTAAACTTTATCTGGTATGTTTACCTGGAATTTATCTGGTATATTAAAGGTTGAATACATCCAACAATAAGACTTCAATGTCGCATCACTTACTCCCCCAGCAGGCTGTTAAAGAAAATCAACTACTAATAATTAAATAATAATAAGTTTTGATTGCTTTGCCCCCCCCCCCACATGTTAACAATAATAGTTTTTCTCGGATTTGTCTGTATAAATTAGTTTTTTTTTCAAAAATAACAAATGTCGAAATATTTTTTCGGTCAAAATTTCATAGAATTTGGGATTAATCGCGTTTTGACGTTTATAAGGTACTGACAGACAGACAGACAGACAATTGAATTATTAAAGAATTAATGACAAAGGTTCATTTTATCAACAAAACAAGGATTTACTTTCTTTTTTTTTGACAAATTCTTAGGACTTTTATATTTATTTAAACAAAATATAGTTCACCAGTAAGGAATCGTTAAAGAAGTTTAAAACGACATTTCCTAATCCTGTGATTTGCAAAACATTTTGCAAGTTTTTGCAAGCCACAATTTAAAACAAGATGTTGTAAAAGATATATTACCAGATCACATTGTATTGGATTCCCAAAGAATTGATGTGAGGTTACAAGGATAGAAGACGTCAAGAATATTGATGTTGAATACTGATAGAACAGTCTAGAATAGGTGATATATTGGTAGAACAGTCTAGTAAAGATAATATATTGGTAGAACAGTCTAGTAAAGATAATATATTGAGAATAGGTGATATATTGGTAGAACAGTCTAGAATAGGTGATATATTGGTAGAACAGTCTAGTAAAGATAATATATTGGTAGAACAGTCTAGTAAAGATAATATATTGGTAGAACAGTCTAGAATAGATAATATATTGTTAGAACAGTCTAGAATAGGTGATATATTGGTAGAACAGTCTAGAATAGGTGATATATTGGTAGAACAGTCTAGTAAGGATAATATATTGGTAGAACAGTCTAGAATAGATAATATATTGGTTGAACAGTCTAGAATAGATAATATATTGGTAGAACAGTCTAGAATAGATAAAATACTGGTAGAACAGTCTAGAATAGATAAAATACTGGTAGAACAGTCTAGAATAGGTGATATATTGGTAGAACAGTCTAGAATAGATAATATACTTGGTAGAACAGTCTAGAATAGATAAAATACTGGTAGAACAGTCTAGAATAGATAAAATACTGGTAGAACAGTCTAGAATAGATAATATATTGGTAGAACAGTCTAGAATAGGTAATAAATTGGTAGACAGTCTAGAATAGATAAAATACTGGTAGAACAGTCTAGAATAGATAATATATTGGTAGAACAGTCCAGAATAGTAATATATTGGTAGAACAGTCTAGAATAGATAAAATATTGATAGAACAGTCTAGAATAGATAATATATGGGTAGAACTGCAGTCTAGAATAGATAATATATTGGTAGAACAGACTAGAATAAATAAAATATTGGTCAAACAGCTAGACTAGATAATATATGGGTAGAATAGTCTAGATTAGATAGATATCTATGGTAGGACTACAACATTAAACCTGAAAGTCCAGTTATCTATGGTAGGACTACCATCTCCTAAAAGTAGTTCTCTAGCTCCTGCTACTGCTCCCAGAAGTCCTGCCATCTTAACTATGGCAATATATTTTACTTTTTCCTCGTCAATATATCATTCTACAAGATCTGGAATAAGTTTTTAAAGATTTAGATATCAATTTAGAAAAAAACAGTTTATGTATGTTTGCATACATTACTATTTAATAATTTGTTACGGTGTACAATGTTAAATGTTCTTCTTTTCTCGTATTTTAATTGGAATATTTACACTATGAACTTGACACTTATATGTTTAGCTTTGTAAAGAGGAGCAGGGTATTTCCAATTAATAAAAAATAATCTAGAACATGATATTGTTATGAGAAGGAAGGGTTTACCATAAAACATAGGCGAAAAGTAAAACATTTTCTTAAGTTATAATTTTTATTAAACTTTCGTTTTGTCTGTTAGCATCCAATAAACGAAAAAAATGCTAAACTGATCGGGTATATTTTTTTTTGGCAATTCACACGACTTTATGAAAAATGTTGCTTTTAAAACAGAAAAATCCACGAAATACGATTTACAAAGAAAAGTGGAAGCTTGAAGAGTAACGGTTAACCGCCAAAATTGTTGCTAAACAAGTAATAAATTAGGTCAAATGAAAATTAAAAGAAAGATTTCTAAAGAGGACACTTTTTAAAAAACTTTTTATATGTTGATTGTTTTTCAAGATCTAACAGGCTAAAATAAACTCCACGGAGAAGAAAACAAACAATAACAAGTCATTGTTTTTATTCAACATGTGAACAGTACAAAAGATTTAAAATTTTATTTAAAAATATGATTTATTAAAAACATTTCTCAAAATAAAACATCATTATTCTCAGTATTTCTATTTACCATGTCCTGAAAATATTTGTTAACGATAATCTTATAATCAAAGTATTTTATTTTCAATGATGACGACATAAAACGTCTTGTTCTAACTTACTGATAACTTGGTTGTTACTGATCAATATCTGCATGGATTATTATGTTTACATAAATGATGTTTACATGTTACACACCTATAGATAAGAACTTGGGAAAATATAAACTAAAAAGAAAGAAAGAGCTTGAATAAGGTTCATTGCATATTCGACTAAAAACTAACAATTGGCTTATATCGATTTGTTGGCCCGCCATTCCCCGTCAAATCTAGCATTATCATTAAAATTCACAATACAAAAGAATGTTTAAAGCGTCAAAATAGAATTGAAAATATCAGATATCTGAGGAGAAAACCGAATTGGGTGATGATATCATCACCTTGATATAAAATCTTCAATCACACACGCCAAACTATGACTAAGAGCTCAGTTTGTTGAGCCGAATGCAGTATAATACAAGTTGGACGGGCACGGTGAGCCTGTTGACGAATACGTACATGCAATTATGGAACGCTTTAAAGGGACTGTAGCCGTAAGTTCAGTTGGCTAACCATTTATCGTTGGGCATGTCCGATTGGTTCCCTTTAAACCTTGGTTGTTTTCATTGTTTGTTTTTCTACAAACTTATTATTGCTCTGTCAGTGTCAACATCAATGTTAAACAATTGTTAAAAGCCGGTATCTGCATTGCTATTTTAGAGTCTGCTGCATGTTTATACACACCAATTTACAAAGCTTTCCTTAAATAACAATCATTAGAATCACCTTCAGATCTGAAAACAATTACCTCAACACATATTGAAAAGATCTACACAAGTTAAACAAGAAGAAGCACATGACCTTTCCGGCTCCATTCCTAGCACAAACTGCCGTATCTTCGGGGGGGATATTACATAGTCTAAATATGCAAATATTCACAAAATTATCGGAACAGCTTTTAATCTAAACTCTCTTATTAATCCAGGATGGCTAGGTCGAAATAAACCATACTGAAAGTAAGAAATACTGTGCTGTAAACCGTAATCTCCAATATCTGTAAACTTAAATCAGAAAACATCATGTATGAACGATGTTAGCCTGGGCAATATGTTTAATACAGATTGGCAGAGTTCCAGATGATTTCATACAGACACATATGCTTCGTTTATTAGCGATGGACAAATTTGAAAAATATTAACATGATTTTTCCGATAATCTGGAATATTTATATAACACAGTTAAAATTAAACTATATGTTAGTTTAAAGGGACAGTTCACTTATTTGGGTAATGACAAGCAAACTAAACAGCAGCCCAATAAAATTTAAATTTATTATATTTTAATGTCATTATGTGTTAGTTCTTATGTACTAAAATATAAAAACTTTTGATATTTGAGTTAGCAAGAAATTTACGTTTTTCGTATTAAAACATGTAAAATGTGTATACAAAGACGACTTCTCTACGACAATCAATTAATCATTACTCGTATTTTGGTTCGTAGATTTTGTAGATTTTGTTCCCGTATATGCACAACTTTTTATTTTCATGCCGCGTTCAATTCAGCTTTTTACACAGGCAATACACAATTTTGAATACAATAAAATATTGTTATTTTATAAAGAGAAAGTTAAAAAACAAACAAAAATTAAAAATAATGACATTTACAATTAATGATTAGATACTACAGTTTGATTTATATTCGAAATTTATTTTGATTCATAACATACTGAAAAAAAACATCAAATAGTGTCTATAGAGAGGGACCGTCCCTTTCCGCTCAAATTCTGAACGAAAAATTCCCCCCCCCCCCCCCGAAAAGTTTTCAGAAAAGCTTGAAATCCCCTTGGTTCAAATTCCTGTTTATGTTACAATGCTTTGTCCACATTAATGAAAACTATTCACCACCAAATACACTGGATCGACTTTGAGGGTTCATAGACCTTTGTCTGACCAGTCCGATCCTCTGCTAATGGGTATAGCGTAGCCCTAGATTCGATGATTTCAAAGCTGTAAGACGCATTTTTCTAGCTTTGGTCTTAAAGAAGTAATTGGCAAAATTCTGATTTATTTTCTCGTCAGATTGTTAGTATTTTAGTTTGTCATGTGTGCCTGGCCGTAAACATTGAATCAGAGTTAAAAATTAAAAACAAAAACTTACTTTCAGAAATTTTGCGCAAAATATCTATTCATGACCATTTTGTACATGATTAGTATGAAAGCAGAGACAAGTGAATTTAGAACTTGTCAGGTATAAAAATTTCAATTATTACTTCCTAACCCTATCCCGATTTGGCTATTTTTGTCTAAAATAGATTAGGGAGGGGGTGTTTTCCAACCCCCCCATGATCTTTCCCTTAGAGTTGAGATAGAGGAGTGCGATAGAGGAGTCCAACGTTTCAACGCCTGCTCATAAAAAAAATTAAACCTCCAACTTCAATAGTTAGGGTGCAAGGGAGGATTTTAATAAAGTTCAAAAAGAACGTCGGAAAAATGTAAAAATATAGTTATTTTTACATTTAACAAATATTATCATTGACACATGTTATTATATTCATTTTTCAGTGGCTTCTAAAATATACCAATTTTAGCTCTGCATCTTTATTATTAAAAAAGATATTAACCCTTTCTAATTATTTTGGAACACCGACCCGCCCTTGGAGCGTCCTCAACCCTACCCTATACATCAAAGAAAATTTAGTAAGATTTGTTCACAGCTATGGAGTTGAAAAAGTGAAGAAGTTTTAGCGTTCTAATGCCAGCCGTTTCAAAGTTATTTAGCAACCCCCCCCCCTCACCCAACCAATCGTGATAGGGTTAAATTATTAGAGTTTCATTGTGTTTGATGTTTTAAAATTATAAACTAACTGTGACAGATGTGGTTCTTACTGTATAATCTAGACCGATGAATATTTGATCTAGTCGGTAGGATTAACAGTATAAAGTAATATGATATTGTGAATAAATAACCCTAAACAGGCTGGGTGGGGAGAGGGGGCGCGTTTGGCCCCTTTTTATTTTTTCCCCGTCACTCTCAGTTTTGACACCATCACTTTTAAATATCTTGACTTGTAAGAATTAATAATTTAAAAGATTTTCTGGCAAAAAAATTGTTAATTAATATGAATAGAAACATCTAGAACAGTCAAAATCTAAAACACTAATGTCATTTAGGCTTTATATTTAAAAACCCGTAAAAAAACGATTAAAAAAGTGTCATATTTATTATTTGCCAAAAACAGAAGTTTTCAATTGTTCTGAGGTTAATCAAATAATATTTCATTTTTAATCATCAGGAGTTAAAAAATATTGACGTGGACAGAAAAATTTATATTGTCAATTTTATGTTTATATAAGTATACAGTTCTAAGTTAATGTTCATATAAGTATACAGTTCTAAGTTAATGTTCATATAAGTATACAGTTCTAAGTTAATGTTCATATAGGTATACAGTTCTAAGTTAATGTTCATATAAGTATACAGTTCTAAGTTAATGTTCATATAAGTATACAGTTCTGAAAGTTTTACTTAACTTCAATGTTTAACTTGCCTGGGAGATTTGATTAATTTAAAACTGAAAAAAATTAATTACTTTTATTTGTTAAAAATTAGCATATTCTTTATAGTTAATACAAATTTTTCAATTTTAGCCTCATAGCTCAAATATTAAAATAGGCTATTTTAGATTTTTTTAAATCATACTTCCCAATTCCGACCGTTAATGGATGTCCCCTGCAGGTATCCATTGAAAAAGTATATAAGCTTGGTATATCAATTAATTTAATGATGGACATGTTGTTTAACAGAAATATTGAATTACAAGAGTTTAAATATTTCTGAAAATATTTAAACGATTAATTGATCTTTGACTTTAACCCTGTCCAGTGTCCAGGATATTTTTGTCTAATATAAGAATTTTCATTTTTGACAGTTGACATCTGTTTTTTTAAGGGCTTTTCAAATATGTAAGTTTAAGAAAGCTTGAAAAATAGAAAAGTTGTTGTGTACTATTTTTGAAATACAGACCGGCCCTTTAACCTTCCACCACTCTACCCTATATATGAATAAAATAAAATCAATAATCGATTTTGAGGTTAGAAAAATTCAGACGTTTGAGGGCTCTAATGTTATCAGTTTTTAAGTTGTAGAAAACAAATCCTGTGGTGAACAATAATTCATATATAGGGATACCCTCAAAGGATGAGACTGAAAAGACGACTTTAGACTCTTCAA